TTTGTTTATTCTACAAAAACCATTAGAGACTACATATATATTATAAAACACCATTTAAAATCATTAAAAACAAAAGTAAAAGTTAAAACCATAAAAGGTAGAATATATCATCAAATAACTTTGTTTGGTTACTATGATCGTTTCTTGATCAAAACCTCTCTCTACCAATTATAAAGGATTTTGTCTCCACGGCTCGAGAAATATGGTAAGGTTAACTTCGTTCCACGGGTCGAGAAATTAATAAATATATGGTCCATCCCACATTAGAGTCATTGCACACTACAAGAGAAACGGTATTTAACGACGTTTATAACAAGACTTGGCATCGCTTAACAAGTGTCTCCAACATATACGCGTCGGTTTGATAACCGACTTAACATCCTCCGACGCTAACTATTTTAACGTCACTTAAACTAATGACATGTAATTTTACGTCAAACAGTGTGCGACAGTTTATTTATCAAAAAAAAAAAAAAGCATGCGACAGTTCCACATGCGTCACCAACCAACCGACGCAAGTCCATTTTTTTGTAAAAATATATTTTTCAGATTATTTATTAAATAGTATTCAGTTATGATAATTAAAGCAAGAATAAAAAATTAACCCATATAAAAATATCATTTAAATTAATCAAATATAATCTGTTTACACAAGAGATATAAACTGTGTTAAAAACTGTAACTTCATCGATATAAATTTTGGATTATCAATCTATACTATTTTTCTATATTCTAAATCACACCTTTTGGAGTTTTGATTGTGTGCTTTCCTGAAACACAAATAAATTCCAAGATTGTACAAGTACAATTCGTATATATAATGCCAAAGATGTAAATATCATTGTTACCTGGTTGCAAGTCAACTGATTCACTATACGCTATTTGGTGAAAAATGTGATTGAGCTTAATATTTCCACTGCTTCACCTGTAAAATCTTGATAGCACTTTGATGATCTCAAGAAACTATACATAACAATGTCAAAAGTGAAACTCAATTGACAAATACTGAATCTATTAGAAGAAAGTTATTCCATACTTGTTTGAGTAATACCTAGTAATTCTATGTGAAGAAAAAGCTCACAAGTTAATGCAACAGAAGATTTTAAAAAGTAAACTAAACCTTAGACAAATTAGTAAATCATCAGAAGATTTTGAATCCTAAAATGGTTAAGTTTCTTTCCAACAAAATGATTTCATAGTAAACTAATCCTCAAACATTATAATATTTAAAGAAAACAAAACTAACAACACATATTCTTGCTTTCTGCAACTTATAATGAAATCAAAGTAGTGATTAAGATACCTCCAAGTACACCACTTTTTTCATTCATTTGGAAGTCCGTGTATTAAGAGGCCTTTGCCATACGGAAAATTCAAACATTGGGGATAACTGAAGCTTTATAATACATCTTCCACTGAAATTGGCTTCAAACTTCAAAAAGAGCATGTCCTGAATCAACCTAAGAAGATTAGGCAACCAATATAAGTGTTTGGAGCAAAATAGATGACGATGGTAATTATTTACCAAGTGAGGACATATGTACAATCACGTACCTTCGAAGAACCAACCCGATGATAAGTGTTTCACCACTTCTCGTGTGGTCAATTACCTGGCACAGTGTCAAAAAGTAAAAACATTAGTGCAGAGGCTAAGCAGTCACGAGTCAAACCTGTGTGGGAGGAGCAATGCTTACCGGAAATCCATTGTGTTTATTGCTGCGCAAAATTGAAGCAACATCTGCGACCCTGATAACTCGAGGTAAGGAGATTACCTTCAAAGATAGAAAAAAAATGTTTTGATATAGCATAATGCAAGAAATATGTGTCACAAGATCCATCCAGTGATTGACTAGCTTTGCCTTTAATCAGGGAGAAATGATAACAACCTTCTGACTTTGACATGCTTCGTTAGCAATCATTGACGCATATGATTCTTAGGTCTTGATTCCAGCAACAGAATGCCCTTCAGGCGTGCTTGTACTTCATACAATCCCTCATTGAAAGCATCGCCAACGGCCTATGAACATAACAAATTAAAAACAAGCATATTTCCACAAAAATCAAGATAAATGGTAATGGTTGGTAACTCGTACCTTCGAAATGAGAAGAACCAACATTATAAGAAGCAAAAGTTTCAGGTTATTTGTGATTTCAACCATAATAACACATAAAGATACAGTCATCCGCATCGAGCCTCCAATAAAACGAAGCAGCTCCCAGCAAAGCATAGCTAAGGTTCAAAGATTTTTGGTATCAAATGTTGTCAAGAAAAGAAGCCCAATGTTCACAACAAACTGAAAAAAAGTGGCAAGATAAGAAAAATCACTACACAAAGAGACTCACGTCACGTTCCTTCCTCAATGTTAAGCTTCTTGTAAAACCTGACCACAAACAATGCCTACAAGGCGCCCATAAGTTGAAAACACTAAAAGTATTCTAAAACCCCCATAAGACGCCCATAAGTTGAAAACATGACCACTCCATATTTTAGGCATTGACCCAACTTATAAAAACACTAAAAATATTCTTAAATCCCCATAAAAGACTACAAATATTATAAAACACCAATTAAAACCGTTAAACCCAGTGTTCAAAACTGTAAAAAATAGAATATATATAGCATCAAATAAATTTTTTGTTTACTATAATTGTTTCTTGATCATAAACTTTATTTATCCGTTTTAAAAGATTTTGTCTGCAAGATTCATATTTAATACGATAAAGTTTGTTCTCTGGTTCGAGAAATTATGCATAAATGATCTATCCAAAGTTGGAGTCATTCCGCCCCAAGTATAAAACCTACTCATGCAAAGAGAAATCAGGTTATTAACTAATATTAATTATTTTTTCTTGATTTATAATGATTGTGGCTCTATTGGGGAATTTTCCTGACCATTTTAAAAGATAATCTATAAAGACCTAAAACACTAAAATTACTCGAAAAACATTTGAGCCCAAATGTGAGGAGGGTAATCACATAAAGCCCATAATCTATAAAAAAAATCATTAATATTTTGGATCTGATCCCTTATAGTATAGGATAAATTGTATAAAATATGAATGTTACTAGATTTGGGCCTAATAATTTACATTAAGTCCACTTTATATATGAGCCAACTTTTTTATTTATATAGGTTAATCAATTCTATATAGGGAGCTTTACTAGAATGACCTTGTCAAGGAAATATTTGGACTACAATGACTTTTATCTTTGAATATTATTAGAATGGACTTGAAAACATTTTAATTCCTATGTTAACTTTTTTTCCTTTGAAGACAAAAAACGTATTTACGAAACTGCCATTACTGAGAGCGAAATTTTTTCCCGCCAAAATAAAATAAGTCTACCATTCTGTTATGGTAGACTTATTAAACGTCTGGTAGACTTATTACGGTGAACACGATGGTAGACTTTTTTATAGTTGTGGTAGATTTATAAAATGTGGTAGACTTATTTGTAGTTCTGGTAGACTTAATATTGGGATCGGTAGACTTATTTGTAGTTGTGGTAGATTTATTAAGTGGTTGGTAGACTTATTACGGTTCAGGCAGTGGTAGACTTGTTAATAGTAGTGGTAGACTTATTTATAGTAGTGGTAGACTTATTGAGTAGTAACGGTAGATTTATGCGTAGTAGWGGTAGACTTATTTATAGTGGTGGTAGATTTATTTTTCTGTGGTAGACTTATTTGTGGTTGTGGTAGATTTATTGTTGTGATTGGTAGACTTATTGATGATTCGTGCGATGGTAGACTTATTTATAGTCATGGTAGATTTATTGCTGAGTGATAGACTTATTAGTAGTAGTGGTAGACTTATTTATGGTTCGCGCAATGGTAGACTTGTGTATAGTAGTGGTAGATTTATAAGATTTGGTAGACTTATGTGTAGTACTGGTAGACTTAATGTTCACTTATTTGTAGTGATGGTAGAMATAATTTTTTGGTCGGTAGACTTATTGATGTTTAGCGATGGTAGACTTATGTATAMTTGTGGTAGATTTATAATATCTGATAGACTTATCTTGAGTGGTGGTAGACTTAGTTCTGGTTTAGCCCGATGGTAGACTTGTTTAATGTTGTGGTAGATTTTTTAAAATTTGGTAAACTTATTTGTCTTTGTGGTAGACTTATTAAATCTTTTCAAAGTTTTATTAAAATGACCTTAATTTATCACAGTTATGGTAGAGTTAATTTTGGTAACGATAGACTTATGCTGTTCGCGTAATGGTAGATTAGTTTGTCTAAATTCGGTAACGATAGACTTGTTTGTGAATATTGAATGACGATAGACTTGTTGTGATTCGA